GGATCGGATAAAAATAATTCAAGTTATAGGGAAATCACAAACGCACATGTTTCAAATTTCGTGTTAATAAATCCAGATGGAGCGGATACTTTTCTGTTAATAATTACAGTATATTTCCAAGCAGTAGATAGACAAAGATAAATTATCTCAAAGCAGCTGCGTAGTACTAAAAAATTAATACAGCTCCCTTTAGCTTTCTATGAACTTGACCCATCGCCATCGTGAAGCTAGGAATGATCCCGAAGAAAGGATCCTAGGATCCTGAAGAATCCATTACGAGGAATCGATCTTAAATGAAGCTTCCCGATTTTTCCAAACATCCAGTACGCTCGAGTGGCAACTTTTTCTTGGTTTTGCGAAAGAACCGTTCAATCGTAATCGCTAGTCGGATACGAGCTTTCCTCTTCCTCGGTGCACATTACCTACCGCGTTGCGGCCCGACAGAAGCTCGTGCCGTTAAGTACGGAATCACGGTGAGCGGAGAGGAGCGAGAGGGAGGAAGGGGGTACGGGTGCTCCGCGGCGAAAGCCAATAAATTAATTGGATTGACCGCGGGTGGCTTTGCACGGACAAATGGGATCAACGATTCTGCCGATCAGCAGAGCGCGTGGCTCCGTCGATTCTTGCAAGCCTCGCGTTCACTCGGTCGCTGAGGCCTTTAAGGCGGGCCCGTTAACCGGATACCGAGTCTTCCGATGAGTTAACACGTGTTCGGTATCGTTTAAAAACGCGCGCACGCGAGCCTTTGTCATACAGTCCGTCGCAAAAGAGTTTACATTACAGGGGTGAAAATTACCCCTTTGCGATCCTATGTCCAGCGAGGCTCGACAAAAATGTACTGAAAGTTTGGAGTGCAAAGAGTTAACATTTATAGGGTAAATTTTACTTTAATAGAGTAACGTGCATCTTCGTTTGTCTGTTCTTTACAGTAGAGTGACTATTGTGTAACGGAATTCGTCTTTCTTTGTTTAGTAATTGGGAACAAAAATTTGTATTTTATTTAGTGATAATAGTCAACTGTTTATGTTTGATTGTCCATTTTTGTGTAGTTGGAAGGGCCTTGTGCAGCAGACTGTACGATCGGCGCTGATGCGCTCTTACACGTGACAAATAAGATACGCGGTTGACGCCTTTGACGGCTTCGCGACGCCTGGCGCGTTAGGTACGGGCAAATATTACGCTAACTTGATAAGTACGGTATCGATTCAGCCAACGTCGACGGGGTTGCTTTCGTTTCATAATTGTCGTTCTGTTTCATTGGACGTAGCTGCCCTGTGAGCTTCGTTTGAGATATACTCAAACTACAGAAGAAGTCGAAATATTTCATCTCGGTATTTTCTTTTTTCTGCATTGCATTAAAATTTGACGTGATATCATTTTACCTTTGTTCCGCCTAACCTGAACTTAACCAATATTATTTTGGGGGATTATCACGCAATTTTAAGCACCTAACAATTGAAGAGGAGCGCAATACAAAACAAATCTGACAAAGTGGATGTTTAGACTAAAAAGTTTTACCCAAAGATTTTACCTCCAACTGTATTTGATAAACGTTCGATGGAGACGTAGCACGTGTGCCAGGGACCAACAGTTTTTATTTTCAACGAAATAACGCGCGCCGAGAGTGGCAAGAACCACGGAAATGGTGGCGCAAATTCGGTTGCTGCTACGACATTTGAGAGCCCGATAGAAACCCACGCTTACCGACTTCGGCGGCAGCTGTACCAGCGCCCACGACCGTAAAAGCCACATTATTACCGGTAGTACCGCTGCTACCCACCTCCGTATACCTGTCGGTAATAACGTTACGAGCGTGTTATCGATCGTTTTGCACGTCGTACCCCGCAAAACGGATACGCCACGACGGCCTCGTAAAAGCTGAAATAGTTCTCACCCTCCTCTGCCTTTCCGTCCTCTTCTCGTAGCTCTCACTCTCTCTCCTCTCCTCTCCACGTCGATCGACATCCTCTCCACCGCCGCGAAGGGAACCGTACGGAATGAGGCACGAGAAACTGAACACCTGAATCATCCTGTTAGGATTGCAGATAACAGAAATTGTCGAATATGGTAATATAAATGGAGCTTTCGCTCGACCTTTGAATTGAAACAGATCTTACGTTTGATTTCACGTCGAAGGTTATTTAAAAGGCACCTCAGGGTGGGATTCGAGGACAGAACTCTAGAATTGACGTTGTTAGGGTTGAAGGCAGGAGTAATGGGTGGTACAAAGAAATCTTCGAGGTTATTTAATAACCATTCGTAGGTTAAGATGACTGAAGACACCCTGTTGGAATTGAAAACAGATAAATGGGAAAAAATGGGAGATATGGTGATAATATCAGATTTTCTGTTCAACTTTGAGACGCAAACAGATCGTTTCTTTAACCTTACCTTCAAGATCATTTAATGGTCTCAGGTCGAGAAATGTTAACACTCGGCATGCGGGCATACTTCGCCGCCGAATTACGCGTGCAGCGGGCGTTTGTTAGCGGGTATCCACCACAAATCTACTAAATACGTATTTTTACGTGACCCGTGCTCTAGTGACAGACTGCAAAAAACGTAAAAATACGTTGCCCGCATGCCAAGTGTTAAACGATAGAAACAGATCTCCAAGGTTCTCTGAATATCATCCACGAGTTGCCATAAAATTGCAAGTAAAATTGCCCGACTCACATTACATTCGTCCCTGACCGAAGAAAAAAAACAAGAACCGAGGAAACCTCCATCTCGCTGAAAGACACCGTTGCCATAATTAATAATGGGCCAGGATCACGCTTCACTGGCAATAATTAACAGCGATTGTGCGCGCACCGAGTCGATTATCTGCGAAACGATAGCTGGGCGGTCGTTGTATCGTTACCCTCGGCGATGCAATATCGCAACACTGTACTTACGGGGAAACTTTTCCTCCCAGGGAATATTTGCCTGGCTTGGAAACAATGTTTCTCGCGCGCCAGAGCCGATTTCCATGTAAAGTGTTTCCCGACTGGTTTTTTTCTCCTGCCGCGGCGTAGCTTTTACGAGCTGAAATTGGTCGACGTTGGGAGGAGATCGTCTGACGGTGCGCGCAGGTTTAAACTGGAGACGTAATCAGCGAACGGAAGCTCGAAGCAGCGGCACGATTTCCGCCGCGAGCTCGCGAGAGTTCCTGCGCGAGCCTAGAGGCGACTGCTTACGTGGGCCGTGACAAGTGCATCCGGCACATCGAAGGATTACCGTTCGTTCCGTGCGCAATCACGACGTCCGATTACTCTCGGAAAACACTCGAATCCAGAGAGACCCTCTTAGATAAACCTATTTGCTAAACGTCGAAAACCGCTCGAAGGATATCGCCCGTAGCTAAACGAAATCGCGGAGGGTACCGTTTGTCGATTCGCTAGAGGACGTTTCCACTTCCGCGTTCGACGTTTCGCGGGCTAGAGCTTGTTGTTTACCACCTTCGCCAGTTCGCAGGGAAAATATTTTGTTGGGCCCTTTAGAGCCTCGTTGGACGCAAATGGGATCGGACAGGAATTTCTTCTACGTTGATTTAATAATGAAAAATTTCTGTAACGAATCAACAATTTTTAGAACAGAATTATTTTATCTATATTTGAAATATATTGCCCTTTTAAAATAGTAACAATAACGCCGATAACAACAACAACTTTATGTCTTTATCGTACATAGAAACAGACCGGTAATTAAAAGGAGTAGTAAACTAGAAAAGTCATAATTAAAGATATTGTGTCAACATCAAATCTAGCCTACGGAACATGACTTGCGATACTAGTAGCAGAATATACGTTGAATAAAAAATTGCATGCAACCGTGTAGGTGATCGATATTACTGTTTATCCATGATGATTGCCCGGTACGAGTTGCAGCAGTATTTTTAAAGGTCGCACACGACGAGGTAGTTTTAATGTCAACAGGCAACGAGTACGGAGCGGTGTGTAATTTATGATGTAACTAACAACGTTGTTTGACAGCTACGGAGTCGTAAAACGTCTCGAATACTTCGCTATAAGCGTCCTCGACGGTAGCAGCGAGGCAGAGAGGTAGGGTTTCTCGTTCGTGGAAGTTCTCTCATTAGCCGAGTCGATTCTTTCGTCGAGTCTGCCGTATTTACACGATAATTACGAGCCACTGCTACTTATTTCGTTAACGCCTCCGCGTTATTCTCGTTGCAGTAATGATTTACTTTCTTGGAATAACTTTCTTTTCTTTACCAGTATAAACTACTGCGAAGTACTTTTCTGTAGCAATTTTTCTAATTGCATCTTCGAGACATTGTTACCCGCTTGCGTGCCCGAAGTGCAAGTGTTTGCATTGGTCTAATAATTTGCCAAGGATTTTTATTCTGACGTGCGAACGAAGGTTCTTTCAGCTGGGGAAAAGAACTCGTTACTTTTTTAACTAATAGCTACACAATAATGATATGCTACCGTTTATTATGTTAATGCATTTGCTGCATTGTCCTTGCAGCTACGCATTTTTTAATAATAATAAATGGCACTTAGTGTAACCTTAAGTGTAAGGTTTATTCATGTACATATTTATAACGTAACATTTAGTTGAAAATATCAAACCTATCGTTTCATTTAAACAGATTTCTTTAATAGACGTTGAAGGTACGAATATTTATGGCACAGACTGTATATACAAAACCGATTATCTCGAGTTTACGAGGCAGATGCCTATAAGAAATTAATTACCGCAATGACAATAAAGCAGATACATTAACACGGTAAGCAGTGGCACGGTACAATCGTGTAACGACCATTAAAGCGAAGTAACGAGTTTCCTTCTCCAGTGACGAGTGAAGCAATAAAATGAAAAAATTCGGTATCTCGAGAGCGAGCCGAGGGACAAGGCGCGTTTCTCGTGTGAAAATTTGGTCCCGCCGTTTGGGAACTGTTTTTGCTGAAGGAGAACGACGCAAACATGTCCCGACCAACGAAAAACTGTTGGATGGCCGGATGAACTGACCATATGGTTTTATTTTCGTGTTTCAGGGTCCACCGCAGCCTGGCCAGCAGTATAAATTCTCGATCGGCGAGCTGTGCGATCGTATCAAGGAGGACTTCAACTATCTTCAGACCCAGTATCACAGGTAGACCTCGTGCTTTCGACCGCTATAAATCAACCTTCCCTTCCTCCCTCCCCTTCCACCTATATCCCTTTGAGGTCGACTCTCATTACGCGAAAGAGCGTAACAACTTCGAGGTCGATTCGCGTCGCGAAATTATATTTAATAACTGTCGTGTTGGTTAAATCGTCGCGGTCTGGTTAGGGACGCGCACGCGACTACTCGTAGCGAAAAAGCCACGTTTCGCCTCTTTATTGACTCAATTTTCAGTAATTTCGGATCGTTATAAAGTGCACGGTACCTGTTCGCAATTATTCGAACCGCCTGCTGCTGGAAAACGCCGGGGATTACACTCGCGACGCGAAATCTATTTATTATTTTGCGCTTTTCAACGTTTCGAGTGTTTGCACGACGAAGGGGAAGGAAATAAAAGTGGAAGGGGAAATTATTTTTCTTGTCGTTCAGAAATATCCCAGTATTAAAGATTGTTTAAAATGACAGCTTTTTAAGCAGCGAAACTTCGACTTTGGAATTGTCTACTTAATTCTGGTTCACACGAGAACAGGATACGTAATGAATATAGATGTCAAATGACTCTAAAAAACTTTAACTTGCATATTCAAAATTGTGATTGTACGTAGATATAAACACGTCTGATGCAATGAGCAGTTTTAGGATTGACTTCAAATTAACTTTACTTCCTTTTTGTTCTACACGATTCAGTTTCTGTAGATAAATTTATTTTTCGAAGAATATCCGTGTTTCGTAATTTAAGATTGTAGACATTATCACACGTGACGTATCAAACAGTTGTCGAATTAACATTGAATAGACTTCAACTCGTTTCGATCTTCGGTCTTTTGAAGAATAATAATACCAATCAAGTTGTTTTTCGAAGAGTAATAATACCTTAGGCGTGAAGTAGAATTTACTATCAGGTGAAATAATCGCGAGATTTACTTTTAGACAATGTGATTTATTAGTTATCTGGAAAAACCGTATAACAAGAAAGAAGGAATAAATCTTTAAATAGCACAAATTAATATATTCACAATTATAAAGACAGAAAATATTTCCTTCGATAATTCTTGTACAGATCAATCAACGAGTTAAATTTTCCATTCATCTACCTTATCTTACAATGTTGTTTCAGCACTCGTACTTTTATCGAGTGCTGCAAGCAACAGGGATATTGCTCATCGGTAATTCATTGACTGCAGTCGATACACCAAAGTGTACACAGGATCTTATCTAGGAAACGTTTGCGCAAACGTCGCGTCGGCGCGTAGGCGAGGAGACAAATCGACAGATGTAGGCAGAGAATTGTTTGTCCGAGCGGAAGCTATGCACACTCGAGTATGCACATAGCCCGGAGGACGAGGAGGCTTCGCGGTTCGGATTCTATGCACGCGTGTTACGCGTCCGCGAGCCATTCAGCTTCTTTGCGAGCCATTCCGTAACTTTCCAACGACGTGACTTCTCTTTTCCGGCTTTACGTGCCGTTTTATCAGTCCTTACACGCTACCAACCTAACATTTCCATTAATTTACGGAAGAAAAATTATCTGAAAATTTTATTTCAGTCGAAGGAATCTTTTTTTCATACTTCTCACTCTTTTGTTATTAACCCCTATAATTTGATTCTCAGTCGAATGTTAGTTCGATGGTTATAATTTACTCACAATATGTTGGCACTTTATTTTCAACAGTTGCAAAGTTAGCAGTTTTCAATATTTGAAAAAATCTGGAGATTACGATGTGTTTTAGTTATAACAAGATTTGAAATGTTACTCCGAACAGTGTCCTGCTTGCATTCCTGCTTGGAATGCTAGTGTTGATTCGGATTTTCGAAACTCACAAAAGTGTCTTAAACAAAATATGATGGTCGTGTGAAGTAACACACACAAAAAAAAAAATAATTAATAGTTTAGTATTTTATTTATTCAATATCTTCTACATGCTCGATATTGTAATGGCGCATATCCAACTTAACGAGCCAAGTAAGAACAGGACTTGTAACGAACTAGTCAATTACTCGTTTTTTTTTTTTTTTGTAACGAGTAGCGCATTACTTGTACGCTAAAATTTCTACATCCCTGCGTGTACAAGCTTCATAAAACATTCCCTAAGTCGTAATTCCTAAAATCGAGCTGCAGAATGCACGGTCGGTAGACTCTGAAGGTCGTGAAATCGCTCGAGTCGGACGCAGAACGAATAGTCAGCAATTTCGACGTGCTTCGACGCAGTCCATCCACGTTCCGAGGCGTCCAGCCGTGGGGAACGTAAATATCACGTCGTAAAAACGTAACAAGTATGGGAATATAGGGTGTAATCGGGCGAGATAGGGCCGTCGCACGCAAACGACGGATAAAAGTTGCTCGATAAGAAGAGGGAACTTTCTTCGGGCGTCGTTGGATTTGCGCCGTTCGCCTGACTGTCCCTATCGGCGGCTTGACACGTTAATTTATGTCCCTGTTCCTTTAACGTGTTAATTCGCGACGTCACGTGCCGCACGATTTCCACCGACGACGGAAACTTAAATTGCTGTTTCGTGTCGCGGCGACACGGACACAAGGGGGGCAGAGAGCAGGTTGAAGAGGGAAAGAGACAAGAGCCCCCGGGGGCTGTGTGCATACATGCATAAATATGTGCGAGAGGTACGTGAGCGGCGTGCGACATTTCGACCCGCTCGCGTTTCGTACAGGACGGTCAGAAAGTAGCCAGTTCTGCTCGATGATCATCTGCGGGACTGCTGTTTTGTCTACCATATTATTTCCTCTCCATTTGTTTCGAAGTTACGTAGGATATTCCATTTGTTTCTGTTCACATGAATACATCCGGAATTTTTATTCTTTATTCAGACCTAGATTCACCAAACTCTAGGTTGGCTAGAATATGTGTTGAAATTTCTCCATAAAATCCAAATAATAATTCTGTCTGACTCCGTTGATAAATTTATTCCATGCTACTATCGAAATTGCAATTTTCTCAAACGACTAACGCATCGGAAATTTTGTGTCTGTCATTCTCAATTCGACAATTTCGTTCATCTTGAACCACGAACCAACGAGTAACTGGAATGAAAACGTTCGTTGCTGGAACGCCGTGTCGTGACTAATGATCGTAACACTTTTCGCTGGAACTGATAACGCGCGAGCGTGTATTACAGCCCTTTGTAGCCCTAGCGCATTGTTTGTATTGCGTCGCGATAGATTTCATATCTTGAATGTGTAACTTTGAAACGAGCACGGTTTTTATGCGGGTCGATTGTTCGGTTTCTGCGGCAGTCGGGAACAACCGTTGGTGGTGCTTTTGGTGTATGGGTCTTTCCGGATGGAGGTAGGACAGGCATCGGTACAGGAAGTCGAGCGTAGTGTCGACTGTCGATTCAATTTTGGAAGTGATATTCGATCGAGTTGGGTCTCAGATTAGATTACACGGAATCGAGACCAGTTGGCTGTACTGGTGTAGAGCAGATTTGATTTCTCGACCACTTTCTGCGATGTGAATTTAACTGTTTTAAAGTTAAACCACTTTTAACTTTAAGCCACGAATTATTTGAAAAGACGATCATAAATTTTCTTTTTAAAATTGAATATCACTTTTTATAATAATAATAATAATAATAATAATCTAGATTACACATCTGTATTGAATCTTGGAGCCCAAGGCAGAACGCTTTAAATTTACCTGGCAGTGAATGGGTTAAGCTATATTTACTTTATTTCTTTTCCCGATGAAAGCTCAAACAGTCAATTCGTAAAATGATCGATCTTGCGAACGTGTATATTAACAAAGAATCAAATGCCTACTGTTATTAACCGACTTGTTTTCTTACTCAAACCACTCGAAAGTGTTCCCAACTCTTCCTTTCTTCATACGTTGCTACAATTTACCAAGATTTCTCGTAAGGAACGATTTCCACGGAGAATACCCTAAAATACAACGTTCGCAGAGCCCATCCATAACTAGCACATTACCCTACATCACGCTGGAATTCCGTGGGGAAGAAAGATTGCACAAGCGCTAGGTTGAATTTTCCGTGGCGCAAACAGCGTATCCCGCGGAATAATTCATTTTATGTCTGCATTATACGCTCGATGATGCGGAAAGTGGCGGAGCAGGCGTTGGTTTTATTATCAGACGAGGCACGCTCGGATAAACGCTCTCGCCGGCTTGGGTTCGCGTGGGAGGAAGCAGAAGGGGCGGCGGTGGCTATAAATTCCGGTGCTTACAAATTGAGAGTGCCGTAGAATTTTCGCGGCACCGTCGACGAGGAACAGGTGCGCGTTTCCGCGTGTTTACGTCTCGAAACGTTCACCAGGGATCCGATGGAGAGGGGCCGGGGCAAAGCGTCTTGTAAATCGTTGCCGCGCGTCAATCTGAAATAATTAATGGACTGCGCCGTCCGCTTGCGCAACCTGAATTATCGCTCGAGCGATCGTTAATATCGTACTAATTTATCGTGACGAGGCGGCGATCCAAGCGGTTTCTCGACCGGAGGAACGATTCCTGCGGCTCTCCTTACACGGCCACTGAAATCTGCTAACGATTTACTTGAATAATTCAGCTCTCCCCTTTTAAAGGAGGCTGACGCGCCGCGAGGAGAAAAATGAGCGTCTCTCGTTACCCGGTATCTGGTTTAAGAGATCGCGATCGACAAACAGAGGATACTTTACGCGCGACTCACCTGCACACGCGATGCCGTCGATCCTAGGCACTGTCAGGCTCGGATTAAGAGGACAATGGAAGAAACTGGTCAATTTCAGATCTGGATGGGCTAACGAAGATTTTTTAGTGGAAGCGTATTTAGGTCCTAAGGGTGAAAGTCATTTTGGACGCGTGAAAGTCATAGTAGAATTATTCTTCTTTTCGAAAACAATTGACTTAACCTCTTGGGGGATGAATTATTTCATAAGAACTCAACTAAAATTCAAGTTAATATTTATCTGTGGCACCTATCAATCTCGTGATGTAGTTGTTTTATAGTAATCGATATTAGTTGTACTCAGCTTTCATTGGAAATGTAAATAGACAAATCACATAAACAAATGGGGTAATTTAAGGATTGTAGGAATGGAGAATTAAATGTTAAAATCGAGTTAAAATGCAGTTCAATAAATAGACTGAAGATATTAATGCAGATTCATATTTTCATAGATACAGAAAACAAAATCTCAGCTTACATACAACTTTATTTACATTATATATTTTTCAATTTATAAACATTTTCACCGATTTCCCCATGTTTTCCGCTGTCATAGATGTATAAAAATCCGCAGTCTGCTAATGAACTAAATAAATAACAAACTAATATCGATGCCGATAGCCTTAACGCCACCGTGGACAAGGAGAAGGTAGAAATACGCTCGGACTTTCGCTTCCGCGACTCCAGAACAGAACGGAGAACAATAATTGCCTATCAATTTCCATCGACGGGCCGCGCAGCAGTAGCCACTCGATTTCGCACGGTCGATGCGACTGCGAGATTAGTTAATCGCCTTAGCGTTCTCTCCTTCTTTCGGATTCCCGTCCAATTACGATAACGAATGGAAATTGCTGCGCGAACACTTCACCTCTGTCGAACGTTTCCGCGATTGATAATTAGGAACTCGACACGTTTAGCAGCGAAAAAATTCCCTCGGGGAATACGGCGGTACAGAGTGCTGCCGTGTCGAGAAATATTAGTCGTAGCTTTCACGGATCTTTTACTTACTTAATTCCGTCGCCTATGGAATAGGTGGTATTTAATACGAGTCACAAAACGAGAACCACGTATTAAGGATGTGGTATGATTATTGGTGCGATTTAAATCATAGGTTAAGGGTTGAAATTGAAGTGCGAAAAACTGGCCAGTGAGAAAAAGAAACACGGAGGCATAGTGTGATAGTAAGTCGAGAAAGAAAAAATGGAGAGAAAACGCGGAGGATTCTTTTATAACGCGGTACGCCACCGTCCAACCCGTTTTTCCGGATTACGAGACGTTTCCAGTTTCGCTCTATTAATACTTATTAATTGACATTAAAATTAATTCCATGTCGCGTAACAAATTTGTTACGACTCGTCGAGTGTACACAACCGTATCGAGCGAAATAAATTTCATTTAAACCCGCTGGTTTGCTCGTCGAGCTCATTCCTGGTCCAGGTTATTTCAATCTCTGGTGTTTACAGAATGAAATATCAATTCACGGTCGATTTTCGTGTTTCCCTTGTACCGGTCGCGCGAGAATGTGGATTTTCGTTAGGCCATCCGTGTTGTAACAAGATTATTCCATTCTTCGTGCCCTCCTCTGCTAAAGGTGTATTTTTAAATAAATAGTTCAAACAAGTGTACTTTGAACGCACGGAGGAGACACGCGACGCTTCGCACTGCAATTTGCAGAGAGCAACTCTGCGACATTATTTTTGTTTCTACGTTCCGCGAGTAGCTTCGCTGTTGTGGACTAACATTTCGTAGGGGTAGGTCGCTGTAATGAGCCAGTATTTTTTTAAAAACTCTGCTTCGTTTAGAACGGTTAACAAAGCCAGGTTGTAACACTGAAGACTAATGGCGTCTGAAAAGGACCCTCGTAGGAGTAGCTCGAGAACTTTATTTTATTCCAGGTGTTTTCGAAGTGGCTTCGTTCTTTTTAAAAAAAGTAGGCGAAATGGTATTGCAGATTCTTGTACTTCGCCATTTTGAATTTCTATATTTTCAGTTCAGATTTGGAATGAACAACCCCAAAAGACCCAAGTATGACAAGTTTCATCGAAATTTTTAAATTTTTAGTGCGAGTGTTGTTCCTTCCATGAAATACTACAATGTATGCTATTATTTCTCGGAATGTTAGAGGGCGTTCCTTCCAGAAAATACTTTTGTCCGGATTACGAGGCGTATTTTAAGAGGACACCAGTATTAATTTCTTCACTTCACCTCGCACACCAGGGATATTTACACGGTGGATTCGCAAACACTCTGTACCACGATACAGCTCCGTTAGATTTCCTTTCGCGGCAAGAACGGGCTCGCATCGCTAACACGCTTCCAGATCCGAAAGTATTAAACCAACGCGGGAACCAACAGAAAAACCTAGAGCGTAATTCTAGCGTAATTGGTATTATAACGCAGAGAAAACCGGAAAGAATTATCTGGATGTCGGGGACCGTTTCTGTTCGTTCGTAAAATGCTAGGAACACGGGTGGAAACGCGTACCGTGTAAACACACGCGTACAAAGTCGCGCATACACACGTACAAATGTACATCGTATACCAGTAAGTGTGCACCAACACACGCAACGAGTTTTGCATGTTACGCAGCGCACTCGACCATTACGAGCACATATTTATTATACGAACCAGGGGAAGGGGTTGAGAGGGATGTAATTTTACAGGAACGCCACGGCCTCGACTCTATTTCGCTGTCACGCTGGTAAACAAAAATATGACGCGACCCTGTTGTCGTTAAAAAATTACTGCCGCCATAAAAGTGGCCTCGCGCGCGCGCGGTCGTTCCGTGGGAAATTGTTGTGTCGACGGATCAACGGGAATTAATTTTCCATTTAACGCCCTATTATTTCGGTTCGAGCGCAATAACAACGCCTGGGACGATGAAGTCCCTTCGACGATAAAGCGATAGCGAACACAGAGGATATCGACTTTGATGGAACGTTGGAGATTTGTAGCGCGGTTAAAAATATTGAAATATTGTGGCAGGAGTAGGAACTACTTGTCTAAGAGGCGCGTGGTTATTCTCAATACTTCTTAGGAGGACGTGGGAAACATCGACAAACGAGGATGGAATAATTTTTTTATTTTTATACGTAATTGTTTGGTGGTTTATTTACCAAACTCAATCGTGACATCTATGTTCAGAACATCTAAATCTGAAACAACGATTCAAAACTGTATAAATAATAGCTCGCTTCGGGCTCCAGAATGATCAGTAATTTTTCTAAAATATCGCTTATTGTTTCATTTTCAAAAAAATAGTTACGACCTTTGTGGCTTGAAAAAATAATTCTAAATCTAATCAGCCCCCCTAAAGGAACGCGATCGCGTGTGAAACAGGCGCGCAACATCGTTAACGTTCGGGATCTATCGACGTTTAACTCTTTCTGTCGCACTCTTTTATCTCTGTCTCCGTTTCGAACCGATTTTCCGCTTCAGTCGTGTCCCTTAATCGAGGCTATCGCGGGAAGGGGACGGTGCGCAGGCCAAGCCATTTAAAAAACACACAATTAGTGCAGCCGCAACAAACATCGATAATAGTTGTTACACGCTGTTCGGTTGCAACAGCGAAAATTCCGTGTATGGGTGTGTTTCCCAGTTTCTGCGCTGTCCGGTCTGTCTGTTTGTCTGTCTATCCCAATCGGGACCGACCGGCTCTAAATGGCGTATCAAAACTATCGGAAGCGGCGCAATTGCGCGAATATTCCGCGAAATCGCGGAGAAGGAATTTATTTCGTTCCAGTGAACGCGATGGAACGTGAAAATCCGACGCGCCCGGTGACGCGTGTTTGCCAAGAATTACGCGGGCCAATAACGACGCTCGGGGATGATCGAGCCGATCGGGTAATAAAATCGCGCGGCTAATAGCGACCGATTGATTCGATTCTGGACGAAGCCTTGCCGCGAAACGCGACAAAAGAACGGGGCAAGAAATTATTCCAAGGTTGAGACTTTTTTTTTCTTTTTTATTGTTTACTGCGAATTAAAACAGTTGAAGTATTTTTATTTTTATTTATGTCGACACAGACGAAAGTTCAACCCCGAAGGTATCGACCTCAGCGACAATTATTTTAGTTAGCAATGCTTGCTTATCTTTCTTTTGCTATATAATTTATAAAAACCGCCCTACAATCCATCCCCTATCTCAATAATTTTTATATGCCGTCTGGCACTAACTAATGTTTTGCTCTCACGTGTGTTTTCCTGCTTGTTCTGTCCAGTATTAAGTTGGAGCTGGAGAAACTCGCCCAGGAGAAGACGGAGATGCAGCGCCACTACGTTATGGTGAGTACAAGATCAATAATAATTACAGTAAAACGGAATAGTGATTACAATAATTCCAAAATGCTACTTCGGTTAACGACATCTCATAAATTATATTCCTCATACAAATTATAAAAGGTTTTCCTCGCTCTTTATCCAATATGTATTAATTTTCAATCCAGAGTCAATCTCATTCAAGTTTATTCTACAAATCAAAAGTTGTATTGTAGTGAATGCTATTTATAATTAATATTACTATTAACAATTAATACTATTAAGTAGTACAAATACCATTTAGTGCTAGCAAATGCTATAGATATTATTCTACACTAGTGAAAAATGATGGACAGCTTCCAAATCTGAAAAATCAACTACGTTCCTACCTTACCACTCAATTTACATTAACCCCAAAAATGGGAGGCAGTCCATGTCGTACACGTGTCCTGGCACTCATCAATCCTGTTCTCTTCACAGTTCCATAGAACCTAAGAACCGACCATCTTCCTGCTTCGCGAATGGTTACGCGACGGGTTCCTTAAACAGCGACTTCATTTAAATACGGTAGCTCCGTGTTCGTTTTTAATTAATTCTTAATCCGTCGTTCGACGGCGACCCGAATATATAAAGCGCCTCCGCATCGAAGGAATTCATAAATCTTGTTAACCACGACGCGTGAGAACCGGTCGATCTAGGCGACAATCTTTTAATAAAACCCGACGATCCGACCCAGGAGAACCTCATCAGAAGTTCAGCTGATCGAGTTCTTCGTCGTAGAATATAAATCTATCGATAGATTCACGTATCATGCGTCATGTTTAATATATAGCAAAATAATTATATATTTGCATAACATAAAATAATTGAGTAAAGTTTAATTATAATATACATACATAGTAGATGTCATATAACAACGGCAATCTTTTAATAAAACCCGCGGACCTGACACGGGAGAAGCTCATTAGCCATTCAGCCGACCCGCTGAGCGGGTTCTTCGCGACGTATTTCTTCGTCGTCGTCGCTACCATCTCCTTTTTCATTCGGTCGCGGCTGGCGCTCACGCAGGTGTCGTGGATACGCCTGGCAGCCATGCCGCGGCTTACTTTCGCCCGTAGATCTTCATTATTGCGGTGCAACGTCACCGCTGTATGCGTCTTCATTAGCAGGAGATACAACGCTCCGCGGTATATACGAAGTCGAGTCGCATTCGACTCCTACGGAGAAGGTCGCAGGTCGTAGCCGCCGGCGCGTGAATAGAGGCCTTTGAATTTACACGCCACACGCATATCCTGTGCGCCATCTTTTTTTTGTGCTCGCGTCGATCGAACGAGGCGGCACTTTGCGGCTCACTCGAGACGTCTGTTCTCTTCCAGGCGTGGGTTCTCGAGTATTGTACCGTTGCGCCTTGGGGAAGTTTCCAGAAGACGGCCTCTCCAGAATTCTTCGAATTACACCGATAACCAATTACTTGGTTATGGTACCGATAACTTGAGGTTCACTTTAGAGTACGCCAGTAAGAAAAGATTATACAGGAATAGTAACAATTTCTAGTAGGATTATGAATACAAGCTTCGCAATAAAAAAAAAACCTTGCTCTCGATCCTCCACCAAACATTTCAAATTATGTACTCCACTTAATTAAAATTAATCTTTCACCAGCGGACCGAATGATTTCCTGCCTGTAAAATCGACGAAAGCTATTTGCAACCGTGGCGCATTTTCATGAGAAAAGTTTTACGGCAAACGTGAACGCAAATCCGCATTGCTTAATTTTCTGCTCGGTTACTTTATCTCCGCGGGACCGTGCAGTTAAAAGGCGTAGGCTAGCCGGCCAATACCTTCCCGACGCGATGACAAAACTGTCACGAGAACGTTTATGACTTCTCGTAAACTGACAAGCCTATTCGACTCCGAGTCGTAAAACGAAAGTAACGTTTCTTTAACGACGCAGGTTTCCTCGGTCGTACGTATGTCGAGGAAATTTAAAATGTCTGTCGCAACTTCTAAAAAGATTTTTAAAGCGATTCGTCTGCGGGCTTATGAATTCTTCGCTGCCGTGGCAATCGCTAGACGGGGTGTTTCGTTAAGTACGAGTGATACTTTCATGCTTACGCTCGTTCCACGAGAATGGTAGTAAAAAGTTGTTAGAAACACTCTTCCAGGTTACAATCGTTTTTATATTGTGATATCGTACCCAACGTAAAAAGTAAAGTTCGTGGTAAAATGGAGTCGGATAAGCATACGACTGGTAGATCGGGAGTCTAGTGGGAAAAGCGGTTGACTGCCAACCCAGAGGACTCGAGTTCGAATACCTCGTGCCTCATTTTTCGTGTGACTCCTACGATATCGTACTTGCCGTTGTCTTCGCAACGGTAGAGCTAACAGAAATGCTCGATTCAATTGGCGTATTCGAGAGAGTCTCGATTTGAGTGACTCGTGATACTTCATGAGAGCATGCGCGCAAATAGTCATCAAGATTAGTCGTATACGTGTACGTTCGGCGGAAGTGTTGGTTGGAAAAATGTAAATATCTGAATAGAGTTACATGCTCCGTAATCGGATCAGATTCAATTATCTGCTTAAGGCTATTTCTTTGATCATGAATCACGTCTGACAGGACTTCTGCTTCACGTCACGCATGCTTGCTTCGCTATTTAGCTGCCTCGGGAACGGATTATCTTGTGCGAAATAAACAAAAATACAAGGCGATGTTGACCCATGAAATGCGTCAATTTTGAGACGAAGTTGCCGAGTTGTGTTATTGAAATAACTTATTATGGATATTTATTCGCAATTTTAGTGATTAGTTTCCTGTTAGAATAGTTAGGTAAATATTGTATCATTGAGGAGGTGCGAGAGTGTTTGTCGTGTTCTCGGACAAGAAATAGCTGCTTTTGAGCGTAGAGATTTTCCGTTTTTTTTCTTTTTACATTGAACAAAAATAGTAGGAGTTACAGCGAGATTACAAACGCAAAAATCGTTAATCTTTCATCAATAAATTTCATTCGCGCAGTTCAGTCGCGTGATTGAAATACACGTACAACTTAGAAACCACCCTGTAGATTCCACGGGTAAATATCGTCGTTCGCAGTGCTAAAAAAAGAAGATAAACAGAAGCCTGCGCGTCGCCGGAGTTTATTGTCTTTCGCTTGCGTTGCGGTTATCGTGGACACGCGGTAATTTATAGGCCACACTTCGTGGCCGCGTTCGATGCAAATGACTTCATATAAAATGCGAGCTGGCCGGTTGCGTGGACGTGGCACTTCCGTCGATTCACGCACCACGAAGATTAATCGCGCGATCGCGACGACCGTGCACGAACGCGCGTACGGTCGACGGTCCCTTCAACGATTGATCGATCTTCTTCTTCGTCTACTTCGTCCCCTTCTTTTTCTCCTTTCAGGCAATCGTTTTTTTTTCTTCCCGATTCCTCGCACGATCCATGCACGACTCTCCGTTACCGCGTTCAGCATTTCAATTTAACGTGGCACGCACCCTGGCTCGCATCCGTCCATCTGTCGTGTTCTACGAAGCACCAACAGTGTCGTTCAAAATAAACGTCCTCGATGTTTGTCCATGGTCGTTTAAGAAAAAAATTTTTTTTTCACCGATTGAAAGAAGAACTTTTGCTATTAATATAAACGGTCGAAGATTTTTCTGTGTCATAGAACGCAATATTAACGCAACGATTGGGTCAATTAAATTAATTTTGATTAACAGTTGCCCGTTATTATCTTCAACTCTCTGGATCGCTAAAAAAAAAAACAAAAAAATAACGACCGGGGTCGATCGTGTTGCGTCACGAACCGTATTCGCGTCGTTCCGGGGCCCATGGTCATTTATTATTACCCGAGCGGCGCGTCGTATTACATCGTTTTGTCACTTATGATTAATCATCGGCGAAACAAGAATTTATTGTATTGGCTTCGATCCGCGTAGCAACAGGTACGCTTGTCGAACATACGCGTCCGCTCTCCGTTCTGACGTATCGAATGACTCGTAAACGCGCTCCTAATGAATCGACGCCGGTTTCGCACGCAAACGTAATTGGAATGATTCAGCCGGAACGCTCGAGAGCTTGATTCATTATCGCGGCGGTGCATCTCGCGGAAGAAAAACGGTCGTTTCCTCTTGTTTAGTCCCCACCACTCTTCGTATCTTCGATCGGGTGCTTTCCAGCGAACGAAAGAAACACGAAGCGTGTCTTCCAGTTGACGTCGGTCTCGGCCGTGTAAACTTAATTAACCAGCCGAATCGAATCGAGACTTGGCCAAGAGAAAATCAGGACGCCTTGAACAAAAATATTTAAGAAAAGTGAGAAGGGAGGTCAGTATTTAGGAATTTTTTTTTAGAGGTTTTTAAGTGTATCGAAAGTGTACAATTTATATATTCAATACATTATTTTCAATAAATTCGTAAAAGGGAGCCTCATTCTCAAAGTTCTGAACCGGGCTCCTGCCTCAAGACTCTTGTACTTTGTTAACAAAAAACCAGAAACCTAGAGCAATTTTTAAAAACCCTTCGCAATAATTAACGGTGCATTGAATATCTATGTAATATTCATACAGGCCTGTTACAAGTATTTATCCACACCGAAATCCAACAAGCAACAAACTATCTCGTAATTGACGCCTTTGCAAAAAGTTCAAGTTCTAATTTCTCCTCAAAGCATCGCAGTTGGCGCGTCCTACCGCGCATACAAGTACAACGTGTTTTAAGTATATCTCGAGAGTACATAAACGGAGGTTTCGTCGTCGATTTTCCACGCGGAAAAATGCCGACTCGTTGTCTATGTACGTTTTCATTCCCGTCTCCGTGGAACTCGATCTCTGTTCACGGATTTGCTTTCGATTCGCGGCGCTGGTATTCGTACCGTGAGATGCTCGTACGACGTCGTTATACGACGATATAGCCCCAGCCACGGGGCATTACGCTTTTACGGCTCTTTCATGTAATTGTCGAGCTCGTGAACTTTTACGAGCGAGAAAGAGATCGCCTCGAAACGCCATCGTCCGGTGTGGTTT